GTTTAGCACAGCTCTGGTAATAACCCTACCGGGAATCGTTGCAAGCGTTAAACTTATTATCGAAACTATTTCTTTTCTTGTTGATTTGCAGAAATCTCTTTTGTTGGAGTGCCATAAGTGATTTACGACGCTACAAAGGTGAAAATAGGGATTGATACATACATTTATGGGTCAGTCAGAATCAACCGTGTATCATGTGATCAACCGGGCTAAAAAATTGCGAGATTTCGTTCGCCCGCCATTTAAGTTTCAGCAGCCTAGGTTCTAGGAATTATAAAATAAAGTTTGACGGACGTCATATTCATTTCTTAATACATAGTTCGGAGGAAGTGAAACTGTTCAGAAAAAAGTTAATATTTTGTTACTCATTATTCAATTCTAATGAAATTTGTCATAGTTACCTAGTGTGGTTTCAGGTATTCAGTGTTACTTGATTGAACTCGTTGCTGTTCTCTTGTTCGTTGCTGTTCTCAAATTTGTTGCTATCCTCAAGTTCGTTGATGTTTTCATATTCGTTGCTGTTTTCATGTTCGTTGCTATACTCAAGTTCGTTGTTTTTTTCATGTTCGTTGCTGTTTTCATGTTCGTTGCTGATTTCATGTTCGTTGCTGTTTTCATGTTCGTTGCTATACTCAAATTCATTGTTATCCTCAAGTTCGTTGCGGTTTTCATTTTCGTTGCTGTTTTCATTTTCGTTGCTATCCTCAAGCTCGTTGCTGTTTTCATGTTCGATGCTGTTTTCAAAGTCTCTGGGCTGTCTGATAATATGATCTGATAATATTGCTTCAGTTAGCATATTTTTCTACATTTACGTATATATGAAATAAAATAACTAAAATTTATTTGTACAAAGAATAGCCTGAAACAATTGCCCTCAGGTAAAGGTAACCACTAAAGTTCAGGCTTCAACGCGAGGCGCCGGAATAAGACATCATAATTTTCTTTCAGCGTTCTTAACCATTGCACGGCAATTTTCCATCACCTTTCTTCACATGGCCAATCTTACTCTGGACCAGCGGTGCCATAAGAAAATAATAGCGCCGCGCAATGAGCTCCATAAGACACATGGAATACCCAGCACGGTAGTGGTGCCTTCTCTATTTAATATACACCGGGATATACGTTGCCAATCTCGAATAATTGTGAGATTTGTCTTGAGCCTAAGGAAGGGAATTTTTGGTTGGGTTTTCTACTGATTTTATCTCTGTCGAAAGATGGAATAAGAAGTTGTGAATTACCTTTCCGTGAATATAGGCAGTGCATATTCAATATGAGTATTTATTACCGTTTTCTTTGTAAAAACAAATTGAAGAATATCATTCTTTCTAAAAACATACGATGATATTTATTAATTTTTAAATTCTACATGCTAATATAAAATAATTTGGCTTGTCCAGCTAACAATAATTACCTACTTACTAGGTTGATTCACTCTCTTGTATTTGTTAGTCAAACAGGACTACATGTTACATAAATGGTAAGAAAACGAGACTCTCTTGCCTAGCTCCCGATTTTGTGACTTTCCAAGTCCTGTAAGAGCTTCGCTGTGCTGTAATCCGATTTAAAGAGATCACTCGTAGGGGCTAAATCATTCTTACCTCGTGACACGAGGGCTGCGCGTGGGCTTGATTCACGAGGGATTTCGTCTTATTTGTTTTGAGTTCTCGACCCCACAAAGGACTGAATTTCCCTAAAGTAGCCACTCAGTTACTTCCAGGGAAAAGGTTGGTACGATTTTTACGGTTTATAAGCGGCTTAAACCACAGTAGTCACGATAATATATTTCGGTATCAGTTTGAGTGTCTCTTTCATGAGTGACGTTACCCAGAGTAACATAGATTAGCAAGCAATGGCTTGTGTACATAAACATATTAACCTTAAAATGAATGAAAGAATTTTGCTTGTTTGCAGATTTGTATTGTGCATCTGAAATCTTCGTTATTTAAAATAAAATACATCATGGTTAGAATTCAGATTCATCATTACTCATTAGTTCTTGAAAACCTTACATTGTACTTAAACCAGGTTTGCTCGGATAGCTTCTAACGATTTTTGCTGAAAATTGAAGGAAGAAATCTATAAGTGTCGATAAGAGAAAATAATACACAACATTTAAAACTCAGGAAGTTGAAAACTTGACCAAGCCGCAGCAATCATAGTGCGATTACATACCCAGTTTTTTCATTAAGTTATTTAGTATAACTTTGCACTAAGCCTTGAAAACCTCATGTTATCTTAAGGGAATTACTTCGAATTTTAGGAATATAAAAATATTGCAATAATTTCCGTGATACACTGAGAGAAATGGGTGGGTCTGGATGACCTACTTTGATATCGATGCACTTTTGCGACTCACTTGCTCCATTGTGGGTCATACAGATCTATTACAGACACTTTAAATTTCATATATGACTTGTGGAGTTAAATCGCTCTGAAGCTCAGATGCTCCCTACGTATCCATGCTACGGGTGGCGTCATAAGTGATTTGACGCCACAAGTGAGTCATACCTGGAATTTAAAGGGTCAGTATGACCCACAAATCGGGCACGTGAGTCCAAAAAGTGCATCGATATTCAGACGCGGTTGACTCATCAAAGTGGGTCATCTGGACCCACCCATTTCTGTCAGTGTACTAACGCACTAGTGAAATACACCGTGAATGAATCGCACACAAGTCTTCCATCAAACGTATCAACTACAATTAATGAACGGAATAACAATCCAGAATTTATGTCTTAATTGACTACACACCCGAAGGAAGGCTGAGATGAGGGTAGGTTCACCCGAAGGAAGGCTGAGACGAGGGTTGTTAACACGAAGGAAGGCTGAGACGAGGGTAGGTTAACCCAAAGGAAAGCTGAGATGAGGGTAGGTTCACCCGAAGGAAGGCTGAGATGAGGGTTGTTAACACGAAGGAAGGCTGAGACGAGGGTAGGTTCACCCGAAGGAAAGCTGAGACGAGGGTTGTTAACACGAAGGAAGGCTGAGACGAGGGTAGGTTCACCCGAAGGAAGGCTGAGATGAGGGTAGGTTAACCCAAAGGAAGGCTCAGACGAGGGTAGTTTCACCAGAAGAAGGCAGGCTGATGATAAGTTATTTTATAAAAGATTCCATTTAAAACCCTTTTCGGGAAATTTAATTCGTCTGCTCTATAGCAAATCATAGTAAATGTTAAATTGTCAGGAACAAAAAATCAGGAATGTTGACAGTTGAACAGAGTTAAAAAGAGAGAACTTGATGGAGTTGAATTATGTCAAGCATCATATCTAATTTACTAGTCGAGATCGCAAGGACTCCTATTTTTGAACTAGCGTCCCCCAAACGCTGGAGGCTCTCCAAGAACCGGCACAGAGAAATGCCGGCATTAAAATTCAAGAGGCTGTCGTCTCAATTCCCAGGAGGAAATGCAACAGCTGAGATCCTGGACTGTGATGCAAAGTCAGTCGTGTGTGGGGCAGAATATCTGAATTTGTCTCTGTGTGGAGATTCATAAGGTGATCATGATAAATGTAAGTAATTAATGAGACGTATTTATTTCTTCCTAACATATTGATTTCTTTCATTCTAACATATGTATTTCTTTCTTCTAACATATATATTTCTTTCTTTCGAATATTAAATTCGATTTTGAATAGACTTCATCGATCTGGAATTTCAAATACTTCTAAAAGTATTTAGCTAAATAAATTTCATTTATGATTGCAAAAAATTTACGCATTTTAATATACACCAGGGAATACGTTGCCACTCTCGAATAATTGCAAGATTTGTCATGGGCCTAAGGAAGGAAATTTTTGGTTAGGTTTTCTGCTGATTTTCTCTGTCGTCGATAGAATAAGAAGTTGTGAATTACCCTTACGTGAAAATAGGCAGTGCATATTCAAAATGAGTATTTATTTCCATTTTCTTTCAAAAAAACAAATAAATTTATACGACGATATTTATTTATTAATTTTCAAATTCTATATGATAATATAAAATAATTTGGCTTGTCCAGCTAACAATAATTACCTACTTAACTAGGTTGATTCACTCTCTTGTATCTAATAGTCAAACAGGACTATTTGTGTTACACGTTACACAAATGGTATGAAAGAAAATCTCTCTTGCCTAGCTCACGATTTTGTGACTTTCCAAGTCCTATAAGAGCTTCGCTGTGCTGTAATCCGATTTAAAGAGATCACTCGTAGGGGCTAAATCATTCTTACCTCGCGACACGAGGGCTGCGCGAGGGCTTGATTCACGAGGGATTTCGTCTTATTTGTTTAGAGTTCTCGACCCCACAAAGGACTGAATTTTTCTAAAGTAGCCACTCAGTTAATTCCAGAAAAAAGGTTGGTACGATTTTTACGGTTTATAAGCGGCTTAAACCACAGAAGTAGTCACGATAATATATTTCGGTGACAGTTTGGGTGTCTCTTTCATGGGTGACGTTACTCAGAGTAACACAGATTAGCAAGCAATGGCTTGTGTGAATAAACATATTAACCATAAAATGAATTTAAGAATTTTTATTATTTGCAGATTTGTATTGTGCATCTGAAATCTTCGTTATTTAAAATAAAATACATCATGGTTAGAATTCAGATTTATCATTCCTCATTAGTTTTTGAAAACCTTGCATTTTACTTAAACCAGGTTTGCTCGGATAACTTTTAACAATTTTTGCTGAAAATTGAAGGAAGAAATCTATAAGTGTCAATAAGAGAAAATAATACACAAGATTTAAAACTCAGGAAGTTACAAAACTTGACCAAGCCGCAGCAATCATAGATGACGTTTTAAGGTTCCTTTTGCAGTGCAAGCATAATCACACTGAGCGCACTGAAAAGGTCTTTCTGTTGAATGCTTGTGAAGAAAATGACGTTTCAAGTTCCCTTTTGTGGTGCAAGCGTAATCACACTTAGTGCACTGAAAAAGTTTTTCTGTTGAATGCTTGTGAAGAAAATGTTGTTTCAAGTTCCTATTTGTCGCGCAAGCATAATCACACTCACAGCACTTAAAAGGTTTTTCTGTTGAATGCTTATTTAGAAAATGTTGTTTCAACATCTCTTTTGTGACACAAGAATAATCACACTCAGAGCACTGAATAGGTTTCTCTGCTGAATGTTTGCAAAGAAAATGACGTTTTAACGTGTCTTTTGTGACACAAGAATAATCACACTCAGAACACTGAATAAGTTTTTCTGTTAAATGTTTATAAAGAAAATGTCTTTTCAAGTTTCCTTTTCTAGTGCAAGCAAAATCACACTCAGAGCAGCCCATTTTCTTCATTGTTGACTGTTTAGAAATAAAACGCTTGTGCAGGATTTTTTTGCAACCATCGACATAATTATGATTAGAAAATTTCTGTGAATTTCTCTGAGGATGCCTCAAGAGAATATGTTGTTTGAGTTCAGCTTTTGTGTCACACAAATTTAAACAGAAGTTGCATTGGTGTTGCCTTCTGCATAAGTGTTTGCAAGCTACATGCTTTTGCATTAATTTCTTTGAGGTACATTTATAACCACAGTCTTGGCACTGCAACGAGTCTTTTATCGAATGCATAGCATTATCGTTCTGCTGCAGTCCACTCCCTGAACTAGATGTGCTTTCGCAGTCAGAGCAACGATGGGGTCCTGAAGCAAGATGTTCTTGATGAATGTGCTGCTGCTGTCGACCTGCACTTGCAGGCACCAATCCACGCTGGGAACAACCAAGCCTCATGCCTTGCCTGGAGTTGGACGCCCTAGAGACGCCAGCGTCGTCAGCAGCGTCTCCTGATGCCGATGCTGACCCCCCAGCTTCACACTAGTTATAATAACAAAGTAAAACAATTCACATTATTATTAACAGCAATATCCATCCAACAGCTTTGATTCTTCATAGAATCTTTTAGTTTTCTCAAAATAAAATCAAAATTTTGACATATAAAAAGAGAATTGAAATTTACCAGTCAATTCTGGTTCATGCAGGGACCTCGCAGCATTAATTCCTGTCTTGTGCAAATAAGCGAGTTACAATTATTTGGTCTCAATGTGAGCCGTTGATTTGAGATTTCAACCTTAGCATGAATGAAACCAAACTGAAAAAAATTTTGATTTCAGATACATTAACTTTTAAATTCGGAAGCCAATTTCCAATAGAGCTTTGGGTTGGCTGATGTGTTGGGACACTTTTGCAGCAAGGCAGTACCCAATTTTTTTATAGTATGAAACAATATTCTCAGAATTACTGAGCTGAACAATATATTCATTTTTTGCAGTGGAGTTTCACTCCTCTAATGTTCAATATTTTACTGATAATTTTGTTTCTTCATTCAAACAGCATAATGTCACATGTAGCAGGGCTTGACTTGCTGTGTCTGCACACAATATGTTCACCAAAACAGACCATTGACAACTTCAAGATGAAAGAACTACTGTTGGAAGTCGGTAAACAATTATTGGTAAGTCTATTCATTAGCTTTGTAAAGTTTGTATGGAGCAAGGTAATGAGCTAAATATTGACCATTTAACTGGCTTCAATATACAAAAACACTTCAGGAATGCAGATCTTCTAAACATTGAAGAGTCACATAACAGATAGGTAGCTGATAGCACAGTGCACAGCACTATGAATAGATCTACTAATTTCATGTCCTATAAATCTATAAGACTCTACCCTCTATACACACCGACTAGTAGTGACTGTAGCTGATAGCACAGTGCACAGCACTATCAATAGATCTACTAGTTTTATGTCCTATAAATCTACCAGACTCTACCCTCTATACACACTGAATAGTAGTGACTGAGTGACTGACTGCACTGTTCCCATTTAATTCAAACCAATAAACCAATACTAAACATAAACTGAACGATAACCAACAAACCTCATACGACTTGAAACAAGAATTAAGTTATGAGAAAATCTAATACTGTTTGAAATAAACATGTGCACAATTCAAATATTTTATATCCATTCACTGCATTTAATTATTTTATATTTAGTCTTATAATTGTAATTGTTTTGTTTCTACTTCTAAATTCACATATTTAAAGATTGAAATTAAATATTTTAATTAAAATACTCGTATTAGGGTGGAAAATCTTTCTAATTGCCTAAACGGTCAATACAATCTCAACCTCTCAATATACAGGGTGGGGGAGAACCAATTGAGCAGTTTTGAGGTAAAATAAAAGAGTAATGGAGGTACATAAAGAAGAAAGTTTTATTTCCTAGAGGTTAGCATAACATACCATTTACAATACTTATGTTTCGAAAACGATATCTGGAGACTGGGGCTGTTAGCTGCAACACACTGTTGGAGTCGTTCTCGGAGGAGGGAATAACCGTTATAGTGAATTCCGATCGCTATGCTGCAATGTTGCAAAATTTCTTGCAGCCTATGATGGAAAACATTGTTGAAAATGAAGCATTGGGAGACGTGTGGTTCCAGCAGGATGGGGCTACAGCTCACACAGCCCGAATGTCACTCAATGTTTTGAAATGCATGTTTCCTGGAGGTCTGGTGTCTCTTAGGGGTGATTTGCAGTGGCCTGCAAGGTCACCTGATTTGAGATTTCTTTCTTTGGGGACATCTAAAAGAAAGGGTGTTCAGAAGTCACCCTCACACCCTACCACAGCTAAGGGAACGGATTATTGCAGCAAAGGTTATGGCCATACCTTGCCATATGTGTGAACGTGCTGTAGAAAACTTCCGAGAACGACTCCAACAGTGTGATGCAGCTACCAGACACTCTTCCTGATAATGTTTTCAAAACATAAGTATTTTAAATGGTATGTCATGCTAATCTTGAGGAAAACAAACTTTCTTCTTTATGTACCTTCATTACTCTTTTATTTTACCCCAAAACTGTTCAATCAGTTCTGCCCCACCCTGTATAAGCTAGCTAACACATTTAAATTGTATATTGTAATCAATATATAACAAATAGTCAAATAGTTAAAGACTACTTATAGCCTTATAAGAATTAGCTAAGCTGCTAGCTACGTACAATGTATTGCACACTTGATGCCTCTGTACCAAAAACATTCAATTTATTGGAATCTAATACACACTAAAGGACACAAGTTTATATACCAATTTGTCATTCATAGTACATTTATACTAAACCAGGAATAACAATACCTACATATAAATTAAAGACTGCCACTCAATATATTTAAATATATGAAAAAATCAAAAAAATCAAAAAATCGAAAAAATAAAAAAAACATGATTTTTTTATAAAAAATCAATTGATTTAATCACATGATTTAATCATTTTGATTTAATCATTGCCAACCCTGGTTGGAACACAAAGAAAACCATCTTGAACAGGCCCTTTCCCATATCATGTAGACTTTTTCCAATCTTCCTTGCATGTGATCCCAGAAACACAAGCAGAGTGGGGAAATTCTGTTTAATGTAATAGGCTCAAGGTTTCTTCCTACAACTTCCTACACTGCTTGAACTAGATGTCTAGTTCAAGGATGGAATCCATACTTAGGGGAAATCAAAAGTAATACCATAAATTTTGCAGATTGAATATCATTAGATTTCATGAGCACAATTAATACTTTGAGAAAAAGCACATCAATTTGAATCTTTAGTTCCACTTGCTTACTTCGTAATTAAATACCAACAATAAAACAAAATATTGGTGATTTCAAGGAGTTGTGAAAAATCTTGAACAGTAAAAATAATCATAAAAATTAGGCTTAGTGAATATACCTGATTGACCAACAGAGCAGAAGTGTTCTGTGATGAGCTTGGGTGGTTGCCATGTTCCTCAACTTGAACTTCCGTCTTGCATGGCAAACAAGAGGAGAATGCAGGTGCATGGCTGAGCTGTTCAGTTGGGTAAGCCTGTGGAGGAGTGGAGGATAAAGGATAAAATTCTGTGTAAGTTCCTACTTCTCAAAAGCTATTGAATGGTAGAATCACAAATTTTTGGCTATGAAATATCTTATCAAATCAATGCTTTATGAGTAAAAACATTTCACTCTACCATTTTAAAATTTAGAATGAATAAACGAGTTCGAATGACGATTTCAAAAGCAAGTGCACACTTTGGCTTCAGTTGCACCAAAATTGGCATTTATAAACGTGATAGATTGTACTGTATTGCATTGAATTGTGCTTGTATAGTCTCTTCACTTGAGTGGAAGATGATATTTATTGACACACGAGGAAAATTATGTGGCAGCTAATTCTCCATAAATCTTCTTTGAAATTTGTACTCAATTTTCATTTAGTAATTGACAAGCAGAGGAGAACCATTTAATAAAGAAAAGTTAAGACAGTTCTGGGTGTAATTTTGCCAACAAAGTTCATTACGTTTCAATTTTATTGGGCTACAAGCAACAATAGTACAAATTTGTGTTTTTCTATTTAGAAAAGCATATATAATGTAGGTATTTCTAAACCATATTTCTCATAACGTCTTGCCAATTACTAAATTGAGACACATGTGCCTAATCCCTAATAATAATTATATAACGAGGAAGACATTATGCAGGAAAAAGACTTATCTCTTGAAGATCTATGGTGCCAATGCTGTCATTTAAAATGCTTTACAAAATATTCATTAAAATATTGACCCAATTTACCTAATTTCCATACAAGAATGGCTCTTCTTTAATGGATATTTCCTCAGTTTCATCATCAAGCTCTTTTTTGATGGAGATAGCAGAAACTTTTATGACCGGAGAAGGTTCAACCATCTCCAAAGCTGGAAAATAAGTACATTGATATCCTTCTATCATTATACAGCGGAGCAAGACATTTAACAGTAAATACATATAATAGTCATGAAACTAAGTAGTCGTGTGAGCTTTCAACAACAAATTTAATAACACTCTAATGAGTGATTCATGAGGTGGTATATTCTCACACTATTTTATCAAATATCGTAGTGAAACTCTAAAGAAATTTAGGACTTGAACTCAATTTTTCCTCTGATGTTCAAATTGGTGAGGCACATGGAATTTGGCTTACTTTCAGACTTGACTTTGCCAGCAGCAGGAGATGCTAAAATGAGGCTTGGCTCAGGGTATCTGCCACTGCAGACTGCACCAGGAGATGCTTGAGAGAGGCTTGGCTCAGGGCGTCTGCCACTGCAGACAGTCCCCTTAAGTAAAATCTAAAGGCTTTATCTATAAATGTAGCGGTAGAGCTGTAGCGGCAAAACCTCGTATCGCTACTTAAATATGTAGCGGGCGCTACCGCTACCGCTACATTGCCTTAAATGTAGAGCCGCTACCGCTACTGAAAATGTAGCGGCCGCTAGTAGCGGCAGCTACATGTAGGGCGCTACTGCCCACCTCTGCATGTAGTTCATTTATGCCACATTGAAGATAATTGATGTATACCATCAACCTGGGCTACTCGGGACTGGCGGGGTAACTCGAGACAGTCCTCCAACATGGCGTAAAGCTGTTTTAGTAGCAAAACTAATTATAATATTGCAAAACTAAATACAGTGGCATAAATGTCAACATTTTTCCTATCTATGTAGTATAAAGAAGCAAAAAAATACTACATTTACTAGCTTTGAAAAATTCCTGAAAAAAATGGTGAAAAACATTATTTTGAAAAGTTACTTCTGCTAAGGTTTGTAGTAAAAAAAATATTTGCTGTATTAAAAAATTTTACTTGCATAAAAGTTGCACCCAGGTGTTGGCTTGAAAACTTTATTTGCAGAATTTACATACATCAATCCAAAAAAAAAAATGGCAGCCATTTCCGCACGGCGGGGCTACTCGGGACACCCCCCCCGGGGCTATTTGGTACACCCCCAAAAACACATTTACAGTAGAACCTCAGTTAGCAAAGGCTCCAGCTAAGAAAAAATTGAATAAAAACAAAGAATATTGATTACATTTACCTCGCTTAGCAAAATAAATTTCACATATCGAAAAATTAGTGCATCATCGGTCATCACAAAATTGTGCATAGAATGTCATATATAGAATTGTGCACCAGGCATCATAGAATGAAAAGTATTTGACCTAAACTATGATTTCTTTCTCCAAAACATATGATTATTGTCACTAAAACATTCCTTTCTGTTTCAGGTGTGTTTTTCATGATCTTTTTTATAGTAAAATCAGTTAACCCAATTAAAATGGTGTGATATTACAAGCCGTGTTGTAAGCTTACAGAGACAGAAAGAATGCTATAAGGCTGCTGATATGAAGCTTGCAGTGGACAGGGTTGTTGTAAATGCTCCATGGCATGTTCATGGATACGGTAATATCGCATCAATAATACGGTAATTAATGTATATGGTAATATCATGTCAATAAAGGAAAAACAAGTAAAAATCACAGAAAATGTCATTTATTCTACCTCTACATCATCTACAATGAAAGAGGAGGACTGCAGAGCACTGTTAGTAATGGATGAGTACACTCTGCATGCTTCAAATGTTTTAAAATGAAGTTTTATTGCAAGTGTCCCGAGTAACCCCGTTCAACGGGGCTACTCGGGACACTATTTTTTTGCTTCTGGCACCTTACGAATAGCATATGGAATTTTTCCGAAGATGCCGTTCGATAGTCCTCACAAAGAGCTATAAAATGAGCCTAAACTGGTTTATGAAATGTTTCATGGTAAGAAGTTATGAATGAAAAACGTTCAAAATCGTCCCGAGTAGCCCCGGTTGACGGAACTGTACATGTTGATGATCACATCTCAGCAAATGAAATTTGGGATAATATATTGAATTGAAATTTGCTTAAATAGTTGTGCTGTCATGGTTCAGTATTGTTAATAAAATAAATTGTTTATTTTGAAGGCAACAATAGTAAAATATGAATAATAGTAAGAAAAATAAATAAATATGTATAGCCTGGGAGCTCTCAATATATAACCAATACTAATTTCAAAAACTACAGTGCAATAAATGGGACAGAGATGCAAGCCAGCAATACAACAAAAACTTTCCTCCTTGACTTGAAATCTTTACCTTTGTATCTTGCTCTTAACATAAGCTTTATCACCCCTCTAGCAGAGCGGCAGGCAAGGAGTGACCTCTCAAGCCACAACCAGAGCTTTCCCACCAACATCAGAGCCACAAGGTTCCCACTACATGAATTACATCCTATCTAATTGTCAATAAAAAAGCATGTTTAAGCTGCCAGATTCCAAATGTAATGAAAATTTGACACTGTCAGCCATAAGATTTTATTTTATTTTTTTAAAGGCCTCCCACACTCACCATTCCAAAAAAAAGAATTGATTTTATTAATTAAAAACAGGGAATGGTTTCATGTCAATGATCAGGGCCTCAACCTTAACGCCTCTGATGGTGGCCTACACCGACTCCAAGGGTCACTGAGCTGTGACACGAGCGAGGAGCGGGCCCACGTCGAACTTTTCTCTGACTGCTGTTCGGATGCTAGCTGCCTTGCTTCTCTGCACAGCCAAACCCAACCTTTGCTCCAACCATGGAGTCTCTCTACATTCGCCGGACAATTTCGTAATGCGACGGCCAATCTGTGATATTAAAGGACCAGTCATTTCACCATATGAGCCCGTCGTTTCTAATGCGACTGGCTCGAAACGATACTGAGCTGCCAACGCCGCGTATTTACGTCTCTTGCTATCCTCCGCCGCACGAGCCGCGAACCCAGCAGAAATAGCCGAATTATTGACGTGCGACTCAGCAAAAGTGTCGACGCAGGTTGCATCCCAGCACAAACACCTCCCATTAGAAAACGGGAAAACCGTTAAGCCATCTGGTCTGGATTTTATTGATTAGTGAGAAAATTCTAATATACCACCCTCTAGCCTCTGCTCCAATATCGCAGATCACTCCTATCTAACTCCAATTTCTGAGCTCCTCCTAGGACCAACATTAACGAATATGTGACACAGCTACCCAGTATAAAGGCCTGACTACTGAATGTCTTTTTTCAGGGTCACCCCGCCCCATATCTAAAGCCAGGCCGCAACATAAGTGCTGTAGCTGTGACAAAGTTAGTGGCATTGATATCAGTATGACATCCACCCACTCAGAATTTCAAGGCATATGACTTGATTGGGATAATTAGCAAACACTTAAAATATAGTGAAGGTAATGGAAGACTTTTTTCTTCAACAGCAGTTCAAAAGAGACTGAAGCTGACAAAGCAAATGCAAAGCAAACAATTGAAAGCATGAGGAGGAACACCAAACAGCTTCTGCGGAAATGATGATTATGGGCTGCATGTACGCAAGGCTGGAAACTCTAACAGATAAAATACAATTCAATTAACCAGTATAATACAGTAGCTTCGGCATTTATGAGTATGTCAAGTCAGGCCTATTATCTCTTATTAACTTGCTTACAGAAAGTCATAAGAATTATAACTTTACCACATAAATACACAGAAACTGTTGAGCTAATCAAGTTGATCTAAGTAAATTTTTGATGCGTACTATTTCCCAATTCAATTATTCATATCTTATTGATACAAAAATCAATTATCTTTATTGAGAACAAAACTCAACCTGCACCAATGAAAGAATGACAAAAAATTATTGCATAAGAAATTGTGTCTATAGTACCTGTGTAGTGTAAATGTTGTGGCTTGTTACAAAGGCACTTGAGGATCAAACACTTGAAAATACCATCAAACGAGGTTATAAGAGACGGTTTTGTTCATTTTTTATTGATAACTTCTTATTATTAAACATTCCATAAACGAGTTTGGGCTCATTTTAAAGGTCTGCAAGGGAAATTGTATGACAACTCCAAAAAATTCCATATATTATTCATAAGGTGCCTGGCGCAAAATAAAAACATCCTAAATTACTCCTGGAAAGGGGGTAATCCAGGACACTTGAAATATAACTTAATTTTAAAACATTTGAAGCATGCAGAGTGTACTCATCTATTACTAACAGTAATCTGAAGTCCTTCTTTTACTTTGTAGATGATGTGGATGTAAAATAAATGAAATTTTCTGTGATTTTTACTTGTTTCCCTTTATTTATATGATATTACCATATCCATTTCATTACCATATTATTGATGCAATATCACTGCATCTATGAGCATGCCATTGAGCATTTACAACGACCTTGTCCACTGCAAGCTTCATATCAGCAGCCATATAACACTTTTCTGTATTTGTAAGCTTACAGGACGGCTTGTAATTTGACTCCATTTTAATAGGTTCAAGTGAATTCACTATAACAAAAAAGATTTCAAAAACATACCTGAAACTGAGAGGAATATTCTAGTGACAACAATCATATTTTTGGAGAAATTAATCATACTTTAAGTTAATTACTTTTCATTTATGTTGCCTGGTGCACAATTCTATTTATGACTTTCTCTGCACAATTTTGTGATGACCGATGATGCATTAATTTCTTGTTAAGTGAATATTTTTAGCTGAGAAAAGTAAATATAATCAAAATTTTTTGTTTTTAATTGATTTTTTCATTAGCTGGAGCCTTTGCTAATAATGGTTCTACTGTCAATGCGTTTTTAGGAGTGTCCCTTATTACCCCAGGAGGGTGTCCCTCATTGCCTTATCCTGCAGAAATGGCCGCAATTTTTTTAAATGAGATATGTGAATTCTGTCAATCACGTTTTTAAGCCAACTACTGTGTGCAACTTTTATATACATAAAATTTTTTGGTACGACAAATATTTTTTTTGCTACAAAACTTAGCAGAGGTATGTTTCCAAAATTTCACTTTTTACAGTTTTTTCAGGGATTTTTTAGAGGTAGTAAATGTATGATTTCTTAACTTGCTTTATGCTAAATAGATAGTAAAAATGATGAACTTTATGCCACTATTTTTAGTTTAGCAATATTTTGATTAGTTTAGCTGCTACAACATTTCTACAGAATGTGAGATGACTGTCCTGATTTACCCTGCCCATCCCCTATTACCCCATTTGACGGTACTTTTCCAAAATTATAATTTTCACACTTTTTTCAGGGATTTTTTAGAGGTAGTAAAGGTTTGATTTAATTTGCTTTTTGCTACATAGATAGGAAAAATGTTAAGGGGAGCATGTACGTAAAATGGAAACTTTTATATTTACAAATGGATCATTATGAAACTTGGTAGACATGTGTAAAATAGAGAGAAAAAACTTTTTTGCTCGTGTAAATT